GCACATCTGCTTACTGAGACACTGTGACAAATAAGTGCAGTAACAATTTTGGAATTTTGGTTTCTTTAAAAACATGGAAATATTGTAAGCATATGTTTTTGTTTTAATCCCAGGTGTGGGTTATGGGGCTGCTGTGGACTGTGCACAGCTGCTGACTGTGAGTTGTGTCATGCTGTAGCAGAAGCATGGTTTGCCACCTGCAGATAATTTTTGTGATTGTGTGATGTTTGGAATCCTGGGAACTTTTCAGAGGGCATACAAATTCTAGAGCCGTTTGGTGGTTGTTGGTCATTCAGGGAATGTGGTTATGGTTTGCTAGTAGCTGTGGTCAAAGAAGAAACAAAGGGAAAGAAGTTAGATTCATGGATTTTCCTATTTTTTCTCTTCCCTCTATTTTCTTTCATATCTAGTGATAGAAGATCAAACCAGGGGGATAAAGAGTGGGGAAGATAAAGAACCCACAAAGTAGCAAAGACTTGCTACAATGGCACCTCATTGTGGGGTTTCAAAATAAAGGATAAAAATGGGAAATTTGACTTGAAATGCCATAGAAGAAATGTCAAGAGATGAAGGAATAATTTTTTTTCAAGAGGCCCAGCTAATGCTGGGATATGACCTGCTTTGCTCCCAGAGTTAGAAGAGGGGTGGCCTGAAATCACAAGATCACCATCAGCTTTCCCAGTAGTCATACAGCATATGCCTGCTACAGGTGTGGGACATGGTTATGGTGAAGATTCGTCCTATAGAAATGACAGATCTAAGGTGGTGTACAGAAGTTATGATTTCACATGAGATGCACTCAGCTTATGTAAAAGAAATTTAAATAGCTGAGCTACTCAAAATAGAATTATTTCCCAAGACTGAAAGGGATTGGTAACAGCTATATTAGAGGCCAGTCTACAGGTACAATGGTTAACATGGTGGAGGGAAGAAGCTTGGAATATTGAAGAGTAAAATAGAGCAAGGGTGATGAATATAGTAAAAGATCAGTTGCTGGGTGAAGGGTGACATGCTGATATAAAAGAACAGATTCAATTTGATGACATTAGTATAGAACAATGTCACTCAGTGGCTTTAAGAGCTTGGGAAAAAGTTGAGAAGCCTAGGAAAACATTCATCTTTTTTTACAAAGATTACACAAGTCTCTGGAGAACCCTTAAATGATTTTTTCCAAAGATTAGTCTCAGCTGTGAACAAAGCTGCATTAGACCCTGACACAAGGCAGGCGTTTATAAAGACCTTGTCATACAAAAATGCAAATACCATTTAAATGTAAAAAAGTCATTAGACTATTAAAGGCCCAAGCAGCACCTATGGACAAATGGATTAGGGGTACCACCAATATTGGTTCTAGTGTGTACCATGCTGATATAATAGGTCAAGCTATAGCTGGAAGTTTCCAATATCAAAATGCCCGGTGCTTCAATTGCGGGAAATATGGTCATTTGCAAAGAGAATGTGACCAAACCAAAAGCCTCAGATCTCAAAATACTCAGTGTGTTTTATGTGAGAAATACAGTACTTTGTGCAGGAAAGTGAACAAGTGAACAAACAGCTAAAAAAAAAAAAAAAAAAAAAGCCTAGGCTACTAGGAGTGTGTGTATGGTGCAGCAAAGGCTGCCACTGTGCTCGAAAATGCAATCCAAAAGAGATATTCAAGGTAATTCCTTTCCTTCGGGAAATGGCCTTGGGGACTGGCTCAAGGTGCCACAGCAAAAATTTTGAGGAAAAATAAAACACCACGAGATAGAATCAATAGTGCTTTGCTAACTTTAAATTTCTGAATGTTAATGAGAAAGGAAAAACAGCATCCAAGAGACACTGGATTATAGAAAAAAATTGTGGAATTAAATCAACCTGTATACTATAAGAATGTGTTAACATCAGAATGGAAGCCAGAAAAAGTTCTGTGTTGAGAATAAGATTTACTTATATTTCCACAGGAAATGAAAAGATGTGGATACCATCAAAACAGATAAAGGTTAGAACTGAGCAGGAGCGGTCTCCTGAAAACCTTGGCCACTGACCGGAAAAGCGCTATTTTATTGAAAGTGTCTCTGTTTATAAATTCCCGCTGCATCCAGCATAATTAATGGCTGAGAACAGAAGGGGGAAAATGTAGTGACAATTTTGGAATTTTTGTTTCTTTAAAAGCACAGAACTATTATAAGAATATGTTTTCATTTTAATCCCAGGAGTGGGGATTCGGACTGCTTTGGACTGTCTGCAGCTGCTGGCTATGATTTGCCTCATGTTCTAGCAGAGCATGTTTTGCCAGGTGCAGATAATCTCTGTGACTGTGTGTCATTTGGAATTCTGGGAACTTCTCAGAAGTTGTAAATACTGGGGCTCCAATAGGAGGGGTTGTTTAGGGAGGTTGGTTGTGGTTTGCCAAGAGCTGTGGTCAAAGAAGAAACAAAAGGAAGTAAATTAGATTCAGATTTTCCTATGTGCTCTCTGCCCTCTGTTTTTCTTTCCCTCCTATCTAGTGGTCAATCCAGGGGGATAAAGGGTGGGAGAAAGCCCACACAGCAGGCAAATGCAGCTACAAACCAGTCTCTGAATGGAAATTCTCTTTAAAAAGGAAAAACATGAGCTGTTTTAGAGCTTGTTCTGCATCTAATGGTTTTTTAGCAATCGTTAGCTCAATATAATCCATCGATAAAGAGATATGCTTTGCAGTGGAACATTCTGAGCTCCTTCACTGCCTTGCTCATGCATAATAAGTACATGGCAGAGGAAAGTTCTCTTTCCTTCCAGAAGCTGTAAAGCTGAGATGAGAAGCCGATTAAACAACAGCAAGATTTTAATGCATGCTTTCTTAACTATTTTTATAAGCATATTTTCTCCTTTGCATTATTATGACATCAGTGACTTCTCTGTTCACAGAAAGGCTTCTGTGTTTAGTGCTTGGTCACAAAGCTCTTGAAGACATGTGAAGAAGGGGCTACCTGAGCAAAGAACCCAGAGAAGCCTGAGGAGAGATAGGTCAGGAGAGCGCTTTTGTTATGCTGGTGGCCTCACAAAGTGGCCAAGGTTAAGAGTCCTCCAGGATGGTAGCTCTAGAGATGGATCAAGCTTTCCAGAGCTCATGGGGGAAGTTAAGAGCCACAGATTAGGGATATTCCAAGGAGGGACAAAGCAGAGAAGAGGCTGTGGAAGGATATGTCATGTCTGGTACACTGCCCTGTCTATGAAGCTGTTCATAAAACAATTGTATTTTCCCATAAATTTTAATTTTATTCCAATGTATTATACACACACACACACACACACACACACACACACATATATATATATCAAGAAGAAAATATGTAGAAAAATAGTATTAATAAATAATAAAACTTTTTTCTGTGGTGATATATTCTTAATCCATTTTGAGTTACCGTTAAATGTTACATTAATTTAATTAAACTATGTAGGAGGTCATACTTAGGTTTTTTTTTTTTTTAATTTTTTTGAGAACTAATCTGCTGTGTTGACCTACGAACAATTAGTGTCTCTCTAGCAGGGAACTGAATTCGTTTTGTGATTTTTTTCCATCACACTTACTGTTTAAAATGTATCAGATTAGATATAGCCTCTAATGGTGAATTGTTCTAACCTCTAAAATTGTCTAAAATTCTCCATTTTCTGGATTATTAAAAGTATTTTTAAAATGTAGGATTTAAAAAAAAAACAAGATTTTTTTTCTACCCATCTGTAATAGGTACTCTTTTAACATTTCAAATCTTAAGTGTATTTGATGTTATGTCATAGAGCTTATAACCCACATTCTGAGGGGGGACTGTAGCAATAATTGGTTGCTAAGCAAGTCTCTCAGCTAATTAAACAATGTGCCTAGAATTATTCTGACCGTCTGTGCTGCTTACCCGATGGAGCAAAAATGACACTCACTTCCGTTTTGTCAGCGCTTATACTAGAAACAAGTGAAAGAATATCCTATTTATAAAAAATAAAAAGAAAAGAACTACAAGGTAAAATTGTGTGGAATGAATGTTTAAAACAACCCAATATTCTGTAATAATGGAATACCTAAACAAATGATATATTAATTATTTCAAAGTCATACCAATTGCAGGTTTCCTTATAATATAATAAGGGCTGTATTTTAGTCAGATTACAAATGTTTTATTATATAATCTAGAAGTACAGTTTAACACATCCCTCTCATAAGCATTTTTAACCTGTTACTGCTGCTGTTCAAATTAAAAATTAAGACAGAAGGAAGCCTATTTGGCTTATCCAAATTTTAATTAATTTTGCCACCTGGGTTTGTACAAAATTCGAGGTAGACTCTTCTAATAAGAGTGAAATGAAATCGTGGACCAGGTCCCAGACTGTTCAGATAGTTTATTTTTCTGCTTAGAGTTCTATCACTGATTGGAAACAAAGGCAAGGGTGGGCAGCCAGGGCGGATGGGAAGTGGGGACAGCCAAGGAGCCTCAGGCCGACCAGCACAGCTGCAGTTTTAGCTAAGCCTGAGGCTGCTGTGACAAGCCAGTGTTCATTTCCATCTCATTTTCATCTTCTCTGTGTGTTGCATTTTTGATGAGCTTTCAGAACCCTCCTTGAGTAGGAAAATATCTTTCTGTATATGCTTGCCCAACAGATACTCGGTTTAAACTTGACTTCGCTGATCATGTTTGTAAGGAAACTTAATTTTCTGAGCATAGTATCTGTGGTTTGGATCACTGTAGTGGTAGATTTTATAGTTTATGAAATCTTAATTGTTCCCTATGACTATTTGACAGCCATTAATGAGTCTCAGACATTTTGTACTTTCTATCCTTGAGTCTCTAATAATGTAAAACACCTGAAAGTTTAGAGACATCAGGAGCATATGAAAGGAGCCTGATGAGGAGTGAGAGGATGCTAGACATCAGCATCCACATTCTAAGGCCCCTCCTTGGTATTCTGAAGTGTCAGGATCATGAGCTCCTAGAAGGTCCTGTGCATTTGGCTCATTTTTATTTTCTTTCTTATACTTTCTAATCCAGCTGGAATGCTTACGGAGTCTCCTGAAAGCTTCTAAGCCTGACTCTGAGGACCCAGCTGGAGAATGCCTTCCGAACACTGCCTCAGGTACGCACAGAAGGAGAATGCTTTTACTCAGGATAGTGAGGCTTAGACACGGCATCACTGAGAACAAAAGCAGGAACTGAACACAACTTGACTGAATAAACAAAGCTGTCATAATTTTTGTGGTTTGGGTATTTGGAACAAGGATGAACTTCTAAGACCTCTTGATCAAAGCTAGAAAAGCTTCATGATTCTCTGAATGATGCGTTTCTTGTTTGGGATGGTAATCCTTTGAGCAAAAGACAAATAACTATAAATGTTCATGATGAAAATGTTCAGAAAACTAATATTGAATATTGTCTTCTTTAATACGATCAGTTTGGGGAGGATTCAAAAATTCCTGATAATATCTTTTTTAATATTTATTTATGTAATAAATATTTGTTGAGCCAAACACTCAACTTGATGTAAAGTACCAGCTATGAATAATATAAAATTCGATTTATCCCTTCATGGATTGAGTACTCTATGGAAGAACCAGTTGTTAAACGAATAGCTATACCTCCAGCAATGCAAATACCATTGTGGAAAAGTTTCTGATGGAAAAGTCCAGTGTAAATACAGGAAAGAAGTATTCCTGAAATCCAAAGGATGGCCTGAGCTGAGAGAAGCTCTCAGGCAGGAGGGAGCTAGCTTCCCATTCCACAGTCTGAGAGGCAGCCAGGGAGAAAGCGTATGGCATTCATTCTGTCTGGAGGCAAGTCAGTGTCATCCAGATTCATGGCCCCTGGACCCTTTTTGAGGAAGCAGTCAGAATGTCTTCCGAAGAAAGATTAAGAAAGGTAGTAAAGGTGGGGGTTGTCTGTTGAACGTGGAGAACTAGGTGCCTCTGCTAAACAAAGCTTTTTCTGAAGCTGTTAGAGATGCTCAGCTCCAAAATAAGTTCAGAACTGGTGGAATTGCCAGAGCAGGTGTAAGGCCTCTGAATGGCTCTTGTGAGTTTGTCACACTCAGTGATCCTCAGTGGGGAGTTAGCGTATGTTGGTCAGGGACCAGCAGTGTTTCTTATCATCAGGGATAGGGTACAGTTGATTTTAGCTACAAATTGTGCTAAACCTCTGACAGTGCATAAGGCAGGTCTGCCGAGCGACAAACAACCTGTCTCAGGATACGGTGAATACCAAGGCCAGGAAGCCACCTTAGATCTGGGGCCCAGCCGGGAGAGTTAATGCTGTGAACTCTTAGGCTGTTGATAGGAACTACCTGAGGACTACAGTATTTGTACAGCACCACCTCAGACAAATAATTTTCTCCTTGTTACCACAATCGGTGTCTGTTCTCAAAGTGGTTTCTTCCCTTAAGTCTACCACTTGTATTAATCAGTTAACCGTCGTAAAGCCAAGTCCTTCACTGTGTGCTCACCTTCCTCCCCGCTCTGACCCAGAGCCCTGTCTCCTCTTCTCTCCCTCTTTCATTCTGCCATTTGGAGCTGTGGCAATGAGACCGTAAATTCTGCTGTGTCTCCCTTCTCAGCATAGACTCTTTATGGAAGGTCTGCCCAGATGCATGGATCCTCAGCTGCCTTTTTCCAGGGAGACTTCCTTCCACACAGCCACATGATACCACCACAGACACAGCCTGGACCTTGTTGTCCTCAGTAGTCGCTTAACTCTTGAAGTCACCCTCATTTCCTAGCTTGAAGGTTTACCTATTTCACTAGGGCTATTATTTGACTTCATTGCTATATCTCCTCTACTAATCTAGCTAATTCACATTTCCACCAACTGTCTATTTCCTTTTCCTTAGCCATACCTCTTCTCTATTTTTTTCTTATTATTTTACTTTTTACTGAAATAGGTGTTTTTTTTTCCATACAATATATTTTGACTATGATTTCTCCTCCCCCAACTCCTCAGAGATTCTCACTACCTCTCATTGGAAAACAGGTATCAAAATAATAATAATAATAATAATAATAATAATAATAATAAAACAAATAAGGACAGAACAAACAAAAATAGAAGAAAAAGAGCCAAAGAAACATGTATATATGCAGACACACAAATGTTTATACACACAGGAAAAACACATAAAAACACACACACAAAAAACTAGAAGCCATAATATATACAAAAATTAATTCTATTACAGGGTCTTTTAACAACCTGTCCATGTAAATAAATACTATTAACGTATAAGAACATTTTTACCGTGTTGAGTAGTGTGTGAACATTAAAATAGAAATCCACAGAACTTTAAATGTGAAATGTAAAATGTAAAACTGTAGTGTTGTTTTAAAATTCATATCTTAAAAGTTTTCTGAATTCAGTTAACTGAATGTATGAAAATAAGACCCCTGGGGTTTCTGTGATCAGAGTGTTCACTGTGTGCACTCAAAGCAGCCATTTGCACTAAGGCAGAGGCTCAGAAGGAGCACAGCAGACACTCTTCGACGCGTATTCTGCATTCGATATATTGTGATCAGTCCCAGAGTGAAAGTTACAGGCTCAAAATCATGATCAATCCCGCTCCCTGAGCCCTCATGAATGGATTCCCCACCATTAGGTGATTTGACATGTCTGATGCTCATTCCCTGGCACTGCTGAAAATCAGTCTCTGCTGGCGGAGTCTGGGCTGAGTCTGGGCTCCTCCAGTGGTCCAGGGACCCGAGTCAGCCCTGGGAGACGCAGGAGTGGTGCTCACCCTGGCAGCTTGATTGGAGTCACCTGGCACCCTTATGAGCTTATGGACTGGGAAATGGAATCATAATAGGAAGTGTGATAAAGTAGATGCATTTTATAACAACGAACAAAGAAACAGCTCTGATTAATTGTAGTGATGCATTTTATGTAAATCAGTGTGTCCCAAATCATAATCTAAACATGTGCTCTACATAAAAGTATTAGCAGGATACATTGAGTTCGTTTTTCATATCATGTTTGGCAGCTCGTGTTGTTTCACACTGACAGCGCACTTCAGTTTGTAGTAGCTGGTTTAGAGCCTGTAGCAGTCATGTGTGGCTTGGGCTCTTTTTTTGTCAGTGCAGCTCTTGGGTCCCCAGGGAAAAAGGTACTTGTGTCGCACAGGGTGCCAGGGTACTTTCTGTAGTAGCTGTGAATTTTGAGGGGTACCGTTTTTTTAATAGAATTTTCCCAAGCTTAAGAAGATTCTCAGCATCTACCTCAACCCCCCACTGGGTGGAGCCTTTCAGAGGACTCTATAGGAGGCTCCCTTTCTTTTTTTTTTTTTAATTTTATTTTTTTCTTATCAGTTACATTTTATTAACTCTGTATCCCAGCCGTGTCCCGATCCCTCATTCCCTCCCAGTCCCTCCCTCCCTCATCTCATCCCTGCCCCTTGCCAAGTCCACTGATAGGGGGAACCTCCTCCCCATTCATCTGATCCTGTTTTATCAGGTATCTTCAGGACTGGCTGCAAAGCTCTCCTCTGTGGCCTAACAGGACTGCTCCTCCCTTGGGGGGTGGGGAGGCCAAAGAGCCAGTCATTGAGTTCCTGTTAGAAATAGTCCTTGTTCCCCTCACTATGGGAAACCAATTGGTTACTGAGCTACCACAGGCTACATCTGAGCAGAGGTTCTAGGTTACATTCATACATGGTCCTTGGTTGCATGTCAGTCTCAGAAAAGACCCTGTGCCCAGATATGTTTGGTCCTTGTGGAGAGGCTCCCTTTCTATTCCCTCTCTTCCACCGCTTCTGGTGTCCATCTTCTGAATGAGGATTAAGCCTCTTCCCTAGGGTCTTCCTTGTTGTTTAGCTTCTTTAGGTCTGTAGATTTTAGTATGTCTATGCTATATTATATAATATATATATATATATATATATATATATATATATACCATATATATTATAAGCACATATATACTAATATTTGCTTATAAGTGAGTATATACCATGTATGTCTTTCTGTTTTTGGATTACCTCACTCAGGATGATCTTTTTAGGCAGCTCAGTCTCCATGTGAGTCGCCAAATAAGGGGAGCAAGGGATGCCTCTGTCATGAACTCTGTTGCCTGCTCTTTGATCACTTCCCCCTAGCGATGCAGCCTTGCCAGGTCACAGAGGAAGAAGATCCAGGCAGTCCTGATGAGACTTGATAAGCCCAGGGCAGATGGCAGAGGAGGAGAACTCCCCCTTTCAGTGGACTAGGGGAAGAGGGAGGGAGGGTGGTGATGAGAGGGGTTGTGGGAGGGGACTTCAGTCGGGATATACAGTGAATAAATTGTAAAAATAAATTAAATATAAAAAAGAAGAGTCTCAAATGTGTATGCCACTTGAGAGATGTAGATCCTTCATTACATATCTCCCTAGCAATTTGGAAATCATTTGAAATAGTTTTTCTCTTGTTTGTTTATTTCCTGGTAGTGGCACTGCTCTGACCTGGGAGACGAGTTTGTTAATTTCCCATTTGTTCTAAGGGCTGAGGCAGCTAGTGGCAGGGGCATGTCTGCTTCCCACCTTAATTTTAGCGTGGTAGCCTGTAGCCTTGGCTTCGTGTTGTTCCCTGAGTGTGACAGTTAGCCAGGTAAATGGAGTTCTTCTGACTGTCCTGTGGACAGGTGTGCTGCCACATTTAAGGGGTGAGGCCTCTTGCAGCTTTATATCTGAGAGATGAATTGGAACTGCTTTGAGAATACAATAATCACTTGTTGGTATTTGTTGATCACCGGGCCTTTATTTCTTGCCAAATGTCAAGAGTATTTATTTCTGCTTTTAAAGAACGCATAACATATTGGTTTTAAAGCATTTGGGCTCTTCTGCCAAGTGTTGTCTTAAATAAAGCGTGTGGTGTTCTTTAAGACTGACCTCTAGCTGAGCCAGTATGTCTGCTAAGCCGGAGTATCACTATTGTTCCAAGGCTCAGCTCCTCAGACTTCGCCAGACTGCAGTTCACAGTTGCTCTCTCCCTGCCAAGATTTATTCTCGCTCAACAGATATCCAAGTGAAAGTACTGATTCAGGCTTAGTAATGGTAGAGATCATGGGCTAGGTCTGGAAGTAAGGGAACATCTTAAGGCAATTACTTCAATATATTCTTGTTCTACAAACGAAATTTTGAAATAAATTTATGGTGACATAAAAGAGGAGAAAGGAAATTATGAAGGTTTCAAATGCAGCTTCTAAAATTACAATACTAAAAATCCATTTTCTATTTTAAAACTTTAGTCCTCGTACATAGGAAGCCAGTTTTGAAGCTTGATTGCATGGTTTTATGATTATTGCATGCTACTGTGTTTTCTTATATTACTCGAAAGGGTTACTCTTGAGACTAATTATGTAGGGCATAAATATAAAATTGATAAGAGCTTTTGAAATTTCTTCATCTTGGGCATATGTTTCGGAGACCTTTCTTTTTATTAAGTAATCAATCAATTAATTAATTATTTCAATTCACCATATTTCTCAGGTGTAGTTCCCCCTTGTCTCCTCCCAGCCCCACCCTCCCTCCCTCATCTCCTCCCATGCCCCTCTCCTAGTCCCTGATAGGGGAGGATCACCTCCCCTTCCATCTGACCCTAGCCTATGAGGTCTCATCAAGGCTGGCTCCATCCTCCTCCTCTGTGGCTGGCAAGGCTGCAGCCCCCACCATGGAGAAGTGATCAAAAAGCCTGGGTTCATGTCAGAGACAGCTCCTGCTCCACTTACGTGGTAACCTACTTGGAGACTGAGCTGCTATGGGCTTCCTCTGTGCAGGGGTCTATGTTCTCTCCATGCATGGTCCTTGGTTGGAGTATGGGTCTCCGCAGGCCCTCCTGGGCTTGGGTTTTTTGGCTCTGTTGGTCTTGGAAACCTTTCTTACAAAGTACCATTTTCTTTTTTTAATCAGGAAAAGGAATTATATCATTGTGTTCTTAACATTAGGTTTTTGGTGTTTTTTTTTTTTAAGTTCATGATCAAGAATTTTGGTATTCTTATCTACAAAACATATATAGCAGTAGTACCTTCTCTTAGGGTTACTAGGAAGATTAAATTTTTAGTTGTGATTAGTAATTATAACCCTTGCAGGATAGTTTGAATTTTTCGACATTTGTCATATGGTGTGTAATTTCCAAAGCTCCATAAGATGCTGTGGTTTCACTGCTTTGGACTAGGGATGGTCGTGCACAGCTCTTTTGTTCCAACATTTGCTCCGGTTTCTTGTGTTTATCGGGCCAAACGTATTTGAAGGACACACAGTCTAAAGCTAGAGAAGGACAGAGTTGAGAGGGAGCCATCGATTAGGAAGTGTCCCTGTTCTCTCTCTCTCATGCAGGCACGCATGAATGCACACACACACGCACATGTACACAAAGAATTTATGCTCAACTCACAAGTACATAAAGCTAGTTTTGCAAAGTACACACTGAAGAAATAGGGGCTCAGAAGCAGGCTCACGGGTTCACAGACACAGGTAAACATTCACACAGTTAAACTCAAGAAACAGGATCTAGTAAGAGAGAGAAGCCCCAGGACAGGGCAAAGAAAACAATCAGAGAAAAGGAAAACAAACAGGCAAAAAGCGTAGAGGGCAAACTTGAGAACGGAGGAGTCCACTCACAGTGTAGCAGAATTCAAGGGGCCTCCCCACAGCGAGAGGGTGCGAAAGCTCCTGGGAAGCAGAGCTGGTGGAAGGAGTAAACAGAGCTTCGTTTGTTTTCCTTTGTAGTATTCAAGAGATGCTGACGGGCCAGAGGCTGTGCCACTCGGAATCCCACAATGACACTGTCCTCGCGGCACTGAATCAGCAAAGAAGTGATGGTATCCTCTGCGATGTGACCCTGATTGCGGAGGAACAGAAATTCCATGCTCACAAGGCCGTCCTAGCAGCCTGCAGTGACTATTTCCGGGTAAGTGAAGGTGGATGTGTTTGTCTTCGGACGTCAATGCACGGAGGACAGCAGTGTGCCCTTAATTTTCCTAGGTCCTGAGCCAGGTACACGGCGGTCTGCAGATCTGTAAGTGTTAGAAACCTGTGGTCCTTACTGGACAGCATTGGGTCTGGCGCCCTGTTGGCTCGCTCGCTGGACTGGGCAGGGTGCCTGCGATGGGAAGCAGACGTTTGCATCTGACTGTGCATTTGGCTGGCATTTGGCAAGCACTCCGTGGTGTGGCAGTGACATAGGAAGATAGGGCTCTTCTTTGCTCGAAGATGGAGTTTGACCTCCAGCTGTGAGTGATGTGCGCTGATACGAGTTGGAAGGATGAGGTCTTTTATGTTCGTGCTTCCTCTGTCTTCACGTGAACAGCTTGTACAGATGTATTCACATGCTGTGAAAGGTTGTCGTTTTAATATATGAGGAAACCAAATCTCAAAAATTAAGTACTTAGGATTCAGAATGTAAATAAATAATAAGCATGGTTCTTAACTTGCTTACCTGGAAATAAGATTCGTGTCTGACTTCTGTTTTTTAGTTTGAGAAACTTTTTTGGGGGCTGGTTGAAATGCAGCCACGCAAGTGTGAGTACTGGATGGAGTTCAGATGGCTGAGAAACCTTGCATAAATGAAACAAAGTAGAAGAGTGGTTGATGGAGATTCCTAACTTCAGCCTCAGGCCTCCACACACATGTACCCATATACATGCCACACAGTGAGAGCGATGGAGAGAGGATATTATTATTGTGTGTGCATGTGTCTACATTGTGTGTGCGTGGCATGTGTGGGTGCACGTGCCAAGGGTGCATGTGGAGGTCAGAAGACAGCGTGGTTCTCTCTCCCATTCAGCTTTATCTGGGTTCTGGAGATTAATCTGGCTTGCAAGGCTTGTACAGCAAGGTCCTTTACCTGGTGAGCCATTTTGCAGTCTCCTCTTCCTCCTCTTCTCTTTTAAATTGGCATGTATTCACTGTTTGTGTATTCATGAAGAAAGTTTCTTTCAGATATATCATGTTTTCACCATATGAATCCCTTCCTGTCCCTTCCCCTTAGTACTCATTTATCCCTCCTTCTGTCCTGTCTTCCTTCTATTGTCCTATCATGTGTATGGTTTTATGTCTCTATAAAGGATTCTAGGATCTACATATAAGAGAAAACAGAGTATTTGTTGTTCTGTATCTGGCTTGTTTTGCTTAATATGATAATCTCCAGTTTGGTTATTCATTTTCTAGAAAATTAGATAATTTCATTCTTCCTTATGGCTGAATAAGACTCCATTGTGTATACACACTGTATTTTCTTTGTTTATCTGCCCATTGAGAGACTTTGAGGCTGAATCTCTGAGTTGGCTGTTGTGACTGTTGCTACAGTAAGATTGTATGTGCAGGCATTGCTGCGGTATGTTAGAGTCCTTTGGTATGTATCCAGAAGTTGTATAGCTGATTCATATCCTATTTCTGGATTGCTGAGGAGCACCAGGCTAGTTGCCACAGCAGCTGGCCTAGTTTGCTTCCCCATCAGCACTATGTAAGGGCCCCCTTCTTCCTCATTATCCCCAGAATTTCATTTTGTTTTTGTCTTGTTTGTTTTTGTTTTTGACAGAATCTCTCTATATAGCTCTAGCTGTCCTAGAACTTGCTATGTAGACTAGGCTGGCCTTGAACTCACAGAAATCCTTCTGCCTCTGGCTCTCAAGTGCTGGCATTAAAGGCATTCCCCACTAAACTATGCCTTTATTTGATTTCTTAATGACTGGAATGAGATGGAATCGCAAAGTGATTTTAAATTGCATGAACAATTTTATGTTTATTGGCCTTTTTGTAATTCCTTTTTTGACACTGATTTATTCATTTCATTAGCCCATATATCAATTGATTGTTGTTATATTTAGCTTTTTGACTTTCATATATATTCTAGATATTAAATATTCTGTCTAATATATAGCTAACAAAGAGTTTCTCTCATTCTGTAGGCTTTTTCACTGAACTTTTTCATTTGCTATGTAGAAGCTTTTTAACTGCATGCAATCTTATTTGTAAATTCTTGGTAATTTTCTGAGCAATCGGTGTCCTTTTCAGAAATACATTGCCTGTGTGCCACAGAGTGCTTCTTCTGTTCTCTTCCAACAGTTTCAAACTTTCAGGTCTTTGAGTCTTTTTGAGCTGACTTTTGCATAGCGTGAAAGATAGGTATGCAGCTTTATTCTTCCATAAAAGGATATCCAGCTTTCTGAGAATCATTCACCAGAGACTGTGTTCTCCAGTGTATATTTAGGCGCTGTTGTCAAAAGTCAGGCAACTGTAGCTATGCTCACGAATGGGAACTTATGCATGTAGTCAACTTGACAGACTCTATAATTACCTGGGAGATGGCTCTCTGTATTTACCTATGGGGGAAACCCACCTTAATTGTGAGAAGGACCATTTCCTGGGTGTGAGACCCTGCCTTACATGGAGACAGCAAGGTGAGCACTAGAGCGGCTTTCAATGCTCTTTCCTGTGGACGGTGACCAGCTGCTTCAAGCTCTGCCCTGACCTTCCAACCAGGGTACACTGGACCTTAAATTGTGAGCTAAAATAAGCTCTTTCCCTTGAGTTTCTTTCATGAGAGTACTAAATAGGAAAGGAAGCTAAGTCCTCTGTTCTATCCTACTGATCTACACCGTTGTTTTTTTTTTTTTAGTAGTGCTATGCTAGTTTGTCACAAGAGTGAGTTAGTATGACTTTAAATAGGTGTTCTAAACCCTCTGTACTTCTAGTAATCTTCTTTTTGCTCAGGATTGTGGGATGTCTAGAGTAATTTTTGCTCTCTGTGACCTTCAGCATGTTTTATCTATTTCTGTGAAAAATGTCATTGGCATTTTAATGGCAATTTTATTGAATCTGTAGGTCACTTTTGATAATACAGATAATACAGCTATTTTGTTAGATTAATTCTGCTAATCCCTGATCATTGGCAATATTTCCATCTTATTCAATTTCTTTCTTCGGTGCTTAATTTTTTTTTCATTGTAGGGAATCTCTCAGTTCCTTGGTTGGGTTTATTTCTAGGTTATTCATTTATTTAATTTCTGAAGCACTTGTAAGTTGAGTTGCTTTCCTGATTTCAGCAGAATGTTGGTTATTGACATAGAGAAAAGCTACTGATTTGTATAACCTGTCCATTTTTTAGATGAATTTATCAGTTCTAAGAATTTTCTGGCAGAGCTTTGGGTCCCTTCTTCATAGAAAGTTATTGTCTACAAAATAGGGGTAACTTCACTACTGTCTTTCCATTTATACCCTTCTATTTCCTTCCCTATTTATTTTATTTATTCCTCCAAAATTTCAAGCACTGCATGGAGGAAAAGTGTGAAAAGAGTGAACACCATTGTCCCATTCCTGATTTCAGTCTAAACACATTGACTTCTTTAACTCTGTTTAGTGTAATGTTGGTTATAGATGGCTTTAATATATATATAATGTTTATTATGTTAAGAGATGTTTATTATATTGCTAGACTTTTTAAAGATTTCATCGCTGAGATATTTATCAAGTGACTTTATCAAAGGCCTTTTCTATATTTATTAAGATGTGATTTCTTTCCTCAAGTCAATTTATATGATGTGTACTCATGGATTTTCATATGTTAAACTATCCTTGCATGTAATGAAGTCTACTAATCATGATGAATGATGTCTTTGATAGGGAGTTGAATTTAATTTATAAATATTTTGTTGAGAATTTGTGCATTTATTTTCATTGGAGAGGCTGACTTATAATTTCCTTTGTGTGTGTGTGTGTGGCCTTTTCCAGTTCAGGTGTAGGTATAAAACTAGGATGAAAAAGAAGTTTGACATATTAATTCCTTTCTGTTTTGTGGACTAGTTTGAGAAGCTTTGGTAGACTTCAGCTGGGCATTCTTCTGGGCTTGGAGTTTTTAATTGGAAGACATTTATTAGTTCTTTAGTCTTTGTGCTGGTTAGTTTTTGTCAACTTGACACCAACCAAAGTCATCTGGGGAAAGGGTTCCTCAACTGAGAAAGCTTCTCCTTCAGAATGGCCTGTAGGCGTGTCTTAGGGGCATTTTCTTGGTTAATGATTGATATGATTGATGTGGGAGGGCCCACTCCACTGTGGGGAGTGGTAACCCCTGGGATGCATAAGCCAGCTGAGCAAGCCACAGTGAGAGCTCCTCTGTAGTTCCTGCTTCATGTCCCTGCCTTTGCCTCTGTGGCTGTGAGGAGACACCCCGACCATGACAGCTCTTATAAAGAAAACATTTAGCTGAGAGGCATGGCAGCACACAGGCAGCATGGTGGTGGGAGCTGAGAGCTCTACATCATCACCTACAGGCAGCAGAAGTGAAGGTCACACCAGGCCTAGCCTTAGCATCCAACACCTAAACGCCCACCCCCACAGTGACACAGCTCCTCCCACAAGGCCACACCTCCTAGTACCACTCCCTGTGAGCCTATGGGGCAAATTTTTTCAAACCAATGCAGCATTCCTCAGTGATAACTTGAAAGCCAAATAATTTCTTTCATCCCCCAAGTTAGTTTTGGTCAGTGGTTTATCCCTGCAGTAGAAAGTTAACTAGGGCAATCCTGTTTATTCCAGATCCACTTACATTATTACATCTTGGCATAAATTTGGTAGATCATATGTGTCTAGAAACTTTCTCATTTCCTTTAGCTTTTACAATTCATTAGAATATAACTTTCATAGTATGCCCTAATAGTCTTTTGATTTACTAATACCTAGTAATGTCTCCCTTGTTGCCTCTAATTTCATTAATTTGGGTCTTTTAGTTGTGTTAGTTTAGGTAGGGATTTGTCAGTTGTTTGTCTATTCAAAGAACTGACATTTGTTTTGTTGATATTTTAAAGTAAGTTTATTTTTATTAATGTGTATGTCTGTGTGTGTGTGAGAGAGTATGCTCACGTACCTGTGGGTCCTGGCAGAGGCAAGAGGAATATGTCAGATCTCCTGAAG